ACGTGACATGTCGTTGTCATCGTCATCATCGTCGTCCGTTGACGTGTCGTCCTCGTCGTTGTCCGTCGTTGTGCGTTGATGTGTGGCCGTCCTCGTCGTCGCTGACGTGTCGTCTGTTGTCGTCGTGTGTTGATGTGACATGACGTCGTCATCGTCGTCCGTTGACGTGTGGCCGTCGTCGTCGTGTCGTCGTCCAGGCGTTGTCCGTTGGCGTGGGCATGATTGGAGGTGACCGCGCTGGTCGCGGTGACGGTGGTGGTGGTTGTGGTTGTGGTTGTGGTTGTGGTTGACAGCAAAACGGAGATGCTGATGGTGACGCCGGCAAACGCCGTGACTCGTTTAGGAAGGTGGGCATCAGGATGGGTTATATAGAATTAATGTTGCTAGGCATTTAACAGACATATGGTGTAGCGGAAATATTGCTGCTCAGAGATTCATGTGATGTTTCCCAAGGCTAGAGTTCAATCCTCATGCATCCACTTATTTTTTAGATATATTATAATAACAACAACAAATATTGGAATTCATTGGAATCTCTTGGAATCTGTTGGAATATATTAAATGTACTTTCCATTGGAATTCCATGGAATCTGGTTGGAATTCCAATGGATTCCAATGGAAACTGTTCCGGGAGGCTCCCAGATTCCAACCATTTCCACTGGATTCCGTCGGATTCCATTGGAATTTCCATGGAATTGGAAACCAGAATGGCTGAGGCTCCAGCCAACTGGTTTCTGTTGGAATTCCATGGAATTCCGACATTCCACTTGGAATCCACCGGATTCCGTCGGAACTCATGGGGGATGGTAAAGACCTCGGAAATTCACTGGGAGATGGAGGTGGTCAAGCCTCATCTTATGATGACCTTGAAGGAGGTCAATGCTGACTTTATCACCAACTGGGATCTTGAAAAGATAATGGAACCAGTAGTTCATAATACACCAACTTTCTCTGCAGTCTTCGAAGCAGCAGCCAAATCAAAATTTTCAAAGCAAAAAGCTAAGGCTGCAAAATCTAAAAATCGCAAGAAGGTAACTGAATGCCTACACCATTCCAACACAAAGGCAAACTTAAAATTTAAATTCAGGGTATGTATATCCTCCATGCCGGCATCCATTTCCTTTGCTCCCTCAAATCAAGCAAAGTCCAAATAGGTCTTGGACTAGCTTCATGGGCTTCTGGCACCTTGAAAGAGGTCATGATGATGCTCCACCACTCTTGCCTTTCCATGTTGTACTCTAGCATAAACTCTATCATCACGTCACTTGCCGATAGCACCATCAAAAAGGCTTGAAACACGAGCACAGGACCAGCATCGCAAGGATGTGTCTGCCTGGGAATGACATGAACTTTTCCAGCTGGCTTTTGAGGTCTTCCATCTTGTTATGAACCTGATATGGAGCATACTTTCGGTCCATCGTGTTACCATACAGCAAGCTGGTAGTCTTGCATACTTCTTTTCTATCATGGAAAAGACTTGACTTGGCTCTGATCACCCTGACTATCATACCTTGCTTACCGCAATAACCCAGATTCTTGAAGGACTTATCCTGAATGCATGGCAGCAGGAATGCGGACAATTGCATGCATTTACGGCAACAAATCCTACTCCAGAGTCTATTCTGCACAAAGCATGAGAAATACATGGTTCCCAAGTGCACATTTCCTCCAAGCAACCCAAAAATCCCCCTCAAGGATTTGGACATGAATGAAAATAACCCTAATGCCAGTAGCTCAGAAAGCGAAGCCGAATCTGATACAGAGCCTGGAACTTCAGGGCCAACACCTGATAAGACAATCCCTAAATCCGACGCTATTTATGACAACATTGTTCTGCTTACCTGGGACCTACTTATTGTTATCGAGCTTGTCAACACAATTCAGAGTGGTGACTTTGGCCGTGTGGAGGATATGCTTCCAACTTTAGCCTGCATGTTCTGTGGTGCTGGCTCGAATAATTACTTGACGGAGATCCTTCATTTCCTACATAATATCAAGAACATCTGGACACCCTGAATTTGTGTTTGTTACACTGTCTTATCTTCATAGTATCTAACACTGACAATAATGGGCAGGAACATTATGCATGATAACATGCTGGTCAATATTTCCAGATTGCCCAGACATGCTATGGATTTGAACATTGAGCATCTTATAGGATACTTAAAGGTAAGTCAATCATCCAATTTCAGCATATGTCAATTGAAATTCATGAACAGCACTTATTTGCTGCAAAAGGTGTCTATTCGGACTGGGACAGTTTTGGAAACATTTCCACTGTGATTTCACATCTCCAAAGAATTAAGAGACAGGTTGCAAAATCAACTGATGCTGGGTACAAAAGCCGCTCACATAAATATGCTAATGATGGTGTGCTTGGATGGAGAGTTGCTGACAAGGCTCGCAATACAGGCTTACAGACCCAAACTCCAAGCTGGACACTGCTTGGTCCAAACTGGTTACAACCAGTTCAAGACCGGTTTTTCAACTAAATATGCCATAGAATTTGCAATTGTGAGTTGATAAATTTATTAACATTCTTCGTAGCTTTTAAACAAGTGCAAGAACGTTAAATTATGTTGAGAATTGATGTATATACAAAATACTAAGGTACATCTGCTATTTTCACAAAATATTTTACAGTTTTGTATGTATCTCTGTCAGTATTTGGCCTAAAAATAAGATCTTAGGTGCGTTTTGAAGGGTTATTCTGTAGCTACAAAATACCGGTCTTAACTGACAAGACCGGTCCACATTAACCGGTCTTTTTGCAGTCTTGTGATCTCAAATCTGAAAGACCAAGACTGCAGGTCTGGTCTTTTGCAGTCTTGGTCTGGTCCAGTTGCGGTCTTTTTGCAGTCTTGGGACTGGACTTCCAAGCACTAAGTCGAACACTGCACTCCCAGAATGTTCCAAAGAATCACAGCAGAATTTCGTTGAATGAAGCAGCACTGAGTAGGTAGTCAATTGGAAGGTCAAGCAGTGAGTGTGATGTATGCCATACCATCAGTTGACTGGTCCCCAAGGTAGTTTGCAAATCCTTTTCGGGTACATGAAATTTCTTGACATATCTTGACCCTGTAGAAGGGGGCACGCTCATGGAGCTGAGAATTTGCTTTGAGGGTCATGCGAGGGCGGTCAAGATCAGTCATGTCAAAATTCTTGAAGTTGTCAAGACTGATTTCTTCTATCCAGGGCTCATAGAAGATAACAAAGAGCGCATCCTCAGTAGAGTTGTGGAAGGCACGGTCTCCGCACTGAAGGGTATCAGTTGTTGTTGATGGAAGGCTGACAGTGCAAACAATCTTCACATTTGGAAAGTCCACACCCTGCCAACTTTTCAGCAAAATAATGTAGCTTCATAATCAAAATCTCACTACTGATTGGGCCAACGTTGCAACCATTATCCGACATATGCCATCCTCCCTGATGAAAGAGTCATGAGCTTTTTTAAGGTATTTCTCAGGCATTTTGCTGTGGTAATGAACAACAATACCTTTGTTTTGAATAGTGGGAGGAAGGCATGAGTCGAGATGAGAGGCAATACAAGCAGCAAGTTTCTTGTTATCGACAAAGATGAGGACATGAGGCTGGATAGCAGGGTGAAACAGCGACATGAGAAAGCACAGATAATTCCGCAAGTCATCAATGCTGTTGACAACTTATTGCGCCACATAGATTGTGTTCGGGCAGTTTTATGTGACATAAATATAGACATAATTGGAGTGTAAGACCTTGTTTTCAACAGTCCGGAGGGCAAGTGGTGTAAAAGTAGCCAAGCATGCACACCAGCAAGTCTTTTGAAGTAAATGGCCTTGATCTCATCAAGTCGTCCCCAGGCTGGCTGAAATACATCGAGACCATAGTGAGAGAGCCCAGAGAAATGTATGTTGTGCACTTCATCAACAATGATGCAGATAACTCAACGTTGAAAGTGGCTGTTACGGAGCAGAATGCCAAGTTAAGGCAAGTGCCCTTCTCAAGACTTGAATAATTGTTCCACAGTGACAATGAGATGCCAAGCGAGCCCAGGCATTCGCGTTTTTGAGTTGAATACATGTTTCTGGCAAGAATTACAGCTGTGTATCAAAAAAATGTGAAATTAGCTTACTCCCTGTCACAAAAAGTGACTGGACACCTGATTCAGATACAATGGCTGGATGGATTTCAATTCTTTTTGGTGGATGTCAAGATAATATGAAATGTAGTAGATCCCCAAATTTTCATAATACTTGGACAAAATCTGATTGAGATATACCATTATAACCCTTTCTACACACTAGGGGGATTTTTCAGATATTTTTTTCAGAGCCCAATTGTTTTACAATACATAGAACTACTTAATATAAGTATGGAACATTTTGAATTATGTCTAGAAGTTTATTCATTGAGGAGATATAAGCTGAGCAATGTGGCAAATATTGTGTGAACAAGGTCAATATGACTCAAAACACCATACTTTGAGGCTTTATATCTTCTTAACAAATAAACTTATGGACATAATTCAAAATGTTCCACACTTTTATTAAGTAGTTCTATGTACTGTAAAAAAATTGGGCTCTGAAAAAAATATCTGAAAAATCCCCCTGGTGTGTAGAAAGGATTATAATGGTATATCTCAATCAGATTTTGTCCAAGTATTATGAAAATTTGGGGATCTACTACATTTCATATTATCTTGACATCCACCAAAAAGAATTGAAATCCATCCAGCCATTGTATCTGAATCAGGTGTCCGGTCACTTTTTGTGACAGGGAGTACATCCCACCATGCCTCATGGTGAGGGGTATCCTCATTGATGACCACCATGCAAATTCCGTAGCATGAATTGAAATCATTTTGTTGCATTACCTGGAGGCACTTCAATGGAGATAGCATTATTGTTATCAAGTGGTCGGCAGGGTTGTCCAAAAGAATCTTCAGGGCAGTTGGTAGTGTCTTTCCAGAGTCAGTCCCAGCTGAGATAAGAGAATCCAGGCCATGAAGATCTGCAAGTACAGCCTGAACTTGCATTTCTCAAGGAGTTTGTTGTCCTTTAGTAACAGCATAGCACAGAAGAATGGCCCTCCAGCATACAAGCTTTTCAAAGTCCTTCAGTCCATTGAGAAAGTTCACTGGTATCCTATCATCAGCCTCCAGTGAGAAGTCACATATGAAGAGGTCCAAGTGCGTAGCTGAACATGTCCACAATGTTTTGAGATGTGCCTTGAGATCATCAACTGCTGGGTCCATTGGAGTCGGAACAGGCAATGGTAGAAGAAGGACACAACGCGGTAGGCATGGTCCATTTTTGAATATATGGATTTGGTACAGATCTGTGTTTGCCTTCCTTACAGGGCAGTCACTCAAAATGGGTATTCTTTTGAATGCATGTCAAAACTCCATCATCATCGTTTTTATGCTAATTCAAACTCAGCTGTACCGGTCATCATATCGAGGTTTCTCTGCTTGTCTTGTCAACCTTATACAAGGATCGGTCACCAGTCTACTGGCTACCTTCAAAATCAAAGGTAGCCTGCAAAGGAAGTGCATCATTTTTGGATATTTCCGATGCTTACAAATCCAGCCTATACACATTATATTGGCTGTAAAGGGCTTGCTGCTTGCGATGATGAGCTTGGGGTGTTGCTCACTGTTGGTGACAACATTGGGGGTGGGTTTCAGGGTCCAGGGCGCATTTCTAAATAAGGAAATGTATGCTTTTTCAGATGTAAAATAGCAATAAAATAGCGGAAAAATCAGGAAAAATTAGGGGTGGTGCTCACTGTTGGTGATGATGTTGGAGGTCGTTTTCAGGGTCCAGGGCACATTTCTAAATAAGGAAATGTGCGCTTTTTCAGATGTAAAATAGCAATAAAATAGCGGAAAAATCAGGAAAAAATTGGGGGTGGTGCTCACTGTTGGTGATGATGTTGGAGGTCGTTTTCAGGGTCCAGGGCACATTTCCAAATATAGTAATTTAGCCAAAAATAACCACAAAATAACCGAAAAATCAGAAAAAAATGGAGGGTGGGTTTACAATAAGGACAAACAGTTTGACTGCATGCGGGGTGAACTTGTTTGTGCATATTGAATGCTTAGTAATTATGAGTCCTCTGAGTTTACGAAGAGACTCGTTTATTACCTTGGATCTCAAGACTTTTTTCAGCACAGTAATGCTGAAATTTGACTTTCTCCCACGAAAATGATTTCTTCCCACAGTTGAATGCCTCGTCCTCCTCATCATATTTTCTAGTCAAATCTACCAATTCATTGCTTAAGACTTGGTTTTAGCACCCTGTGCATATGAATAGGGTTGCCTCTGCTTCACTCAAATTGTCCTTGCAAGCTTCCTCAACATTTCCACCATGTGATCGACCCATGGTATGCTTTGCCAGCATACCTCATGGTTGTCACATGTCATGGCTTGCATTCATGGCTTGTTCTTGCAGCACTCACCTTTTGGCCTCATTATTGCTCTAATTGGCTGTAGGACTTAGATGAATCAATGTGATTTACTTTTTCGTACACGATGTATGCACCCACGAAAGGATATGTCTACTCCACTCGCTAATCTACCTATGTCACACCCCACCCACCGTCTTCCTCTCCCACTCCAAAAACAGCACATGATATATCTGGTGTGTCCACTGCTCAAATACTCCAGGCAAGTTCCCTACCGCACCATCAATCATTAGTCCCAAATCTAAAAAAACAGCGCACATATATGGTACTCACAATGCAAACAATCCGTCCCAGGCTCCGTATGCGCATCAGGCCTCTGCAACGCCTGGTCCCAAACATCCATGAAAATCCACTTTACCCTGCCCCCCATTCCTTCCTCGCGAACCCTATCAAGGCTTGCAATCTTCCACTCCCAAAGTGCATTATGCACAGCAAACAAATCCCAGTCCCATCGTTTTCGGAAGGTGCGCCACTGCTCGTCCGGCATGGTTGAGATGAGCCGTTCGACGAGGTTGCGTTCGCCGATTTGGGCTGCTTCCGAGGAGCGGTAGGGGACGGTGAGGAGGTTGCAGTTTGGGTGGCCTGGGGAGGTTGCACGGTAGATTACGGAGAGTTGGGGGATTGGGGAGAGCCGGGATATGACGAGGTTCATCTGGGAGGAGGGTAAGTAAGGGGGGCATGAGGGGGAGCGAACAAACGAACCATTTGTTTGTATGTAGCTACTACGCGAGATTGTTCTTCTTCGTCGGATTTTCCGGCTGGAAGCATTGAGAGCTCGTGTCTTGACCACTGTATTACATCAATACCTGCAAAAGAAAGAAAGACAAAACCTACATGCGCACCACCATTCATAACCAACACGGTATCCTCCGTAACCGTCCCCTCCTCGCCCTCTCGTGGCCTAGCAGCATCCTCAACAAACCCTTCCCACCCCTCGACCCTCTTATAATCATGATACCAATAATACTCCTTTGACGCGCCCAACCCTTCCGTAATCTTCCTAATATCCTGTTCATGTATCAACATATGATCCTCCACCATC